TCTGTCCACCCCGGGCTCTCCCCCCCGATATCATGCCGACTTTCTTTGCTGCCTCCTCTATGGTCTCTGTTATATACTTCCATCTTTCTTCCGTGGTTAACTCCTTTGCCCTGGATCCTTTCTTCCAGCTTTCTGTCCACTCTTTCCGGAAGTCCTCCCCCTTTTCTCCCTTCCATCTCAGTCTTTTCTGTTTCCTCTTGTTTTTTCCTGTTTCCTCCTCCTTTTCCTTTTCTTCCCCCCACTTCACCCGGTAGAATATCGGTAGGTGGTCTGAGCCTTCTTGGGCTGTCACCCTCATGCCCTTGAACCAGCCTGGTATTGCACTTTCTCCCTCCATTCTCACTATGATCCAATCCAACACACTGCCTAGTCCTCCACCTTCAGCTATTGTCGTGATCTTCCCCTCCTCATCTCCTTCTGCCCTGCCATTCATAATAAGTAGCGCTCTCGTCTCACACCACTTCAGCAGTTGCGGCCCGTCCGGTTTTCGAAGCTCTGTGTCCTCCGAGGTCTTGTGGGGGTGCAAGTGCGTAGCTCCTTCCAATCCACAGTCAGCGATTCCCTGTTCTCTTCCGATTTTCGCGTTGAGGTCTCCTGCCACTATTATTCTCGCTGGGTTCCCCTCAAGTTCGTCCAGAACCTGGTCTGCCTTCTTCAGAAATGTCTTGAGGTTATTATGGTGGTTATTGTATCCCGATATTATGATGTATTTGTCCTCTTCATTCTCATGTTTAATTTCTAGTTGTAGCCCAAACTCCCATTCCTTCTGTTCCCAAGTTGCCCCCAAGCTCTTTTTAATGCCAAGTAGATGTCCTCCTGGCGCTCTGCCGCCTGCGCGCTCTCTGATCGCCGCCTTACCAACCCATTCGAATTCCGTCCTTAGGTTCCCCATAGCCTTCTTCATATCCTTTTCCTCTAGAAAAGTCTCCTGGAAAATCACCACGTCTGCACTTTGCCAAAGTCTCATGTTTTTCCGAATGTTTTTTATGCCTCGTGAGTTCCAGTGTACTACCACCAGCTGGCCTGATTTAGAGTCTCCCTCTGCATCGTCCTCGAAAGGTCGGGTGTTCCTCTGTCGTCTCAGAGTCTTTCCTCAACTTTAGCCCTCCCTCGAGTTCATCCCATTCCAGCCGTGCCTCATCCACCCATAGCTTCTGATAGCCAGCGCTTGCCTGATAACCACGTGTTCTCCAGGCTTCAGCTTGTCTCTCCAGCCATGCTTGGACTTCCTTCTGTCTCTCTGTCAGGTCGTCTGTTATCCAGACGCCTCATCCAAGACCGCTCAGTCTCTCCTTCTTCTCCATCAGCTCCATTTTTGAGTTCCAGGTTTCCAGCTCCACTCTCCATGTCGAGGCTTGCAATCTGTCCAGTTTTTCCACCCTAGCTTCTAGCTCCAGCGTGCCCCGCAGCCATTGCTCCAGTTCCACCTTCCTTTCTCTGGCCTTTAGTAGAGTGAGCCCCTGGATTATAACTCTCTTCTTCCTCTCTCTTCTTGCCTTCTTCTCCTCATCCCATTCTATCTCGTTTAGCCCTCTGGGTGCTGGGTCTGGGGGTAGTTCTGGGTTCTTCTGTGTCCCCATGTCTGACCCGTCTTGTGTACTTTGCTCCCTGGTTGGTGGTCTGTTGTCCTTATTAATATTCTCTCCATCTGCCTCTTTTTCCTGGGTCAAGCCAGTTCTTGGATCTGGTACGTCTCTGGGGCTTTCACCCTCCTGGTCTAGCCTCTGCCGCTCCTTCAATCGCTCGTACCACTCTCTCAGACTCTTCCACTCCTCCGCCAAGTCATCTAGTACGCCCTGCTTGTTTTTTAGCCGTCGTTCTACGTCCTCGTTCGCCATCTGCAGTCTCATCACTTCGCTTCTCAGGAGCTTGTTCTCGGCGTCTTTCTCTCCAATTTCCCTCTTCCTCTCTCCACACTCCTCACAGCCTATCGGGGTCTTTGTCTCTTCCGCTCTCTCCATCCTAATCATTTGCTCCAGTTCGGCCATCCTACGATCCCACTTTTCTGTTTCTGCTCTGGCTTGTTTGATCTTCCACTCCTCGAGCACCCTCGCCACTTCCCGAGCCACGTCTTGGGCCAGCTGATTGCGTTGGTTGCTCTCCCTCGTCTCATCTTCCTCTGCTGTTCCTTCCTTCTCTTCAGGTGTGTGTTGGGTCTGGCTCGTGACTTGTGTTGGGGTTGGGGATCGGGATCGGGCTGGTGTCTGTTGAGGGGTTGATGTTGGTGTTGGTGTTGCTGGTATTGGTGTTGTTGTGACCGGGGTTATAGTAGGGGCTGGGGTCGCGAGGCGAGTTAGGGCTGTGTGCGAGTTGCTGGTGGGGGATACGTCCAGGGCTGGATTAACTGTGTGGATGTCCTTACCTTCCCTTGTTGGTGGGGGGGTTCTCTTCAGTCCTCCTATTCTCTGGATGAACGGGAAGAGCTGCTCTTCCTCCTCACTTTCCTTGTTTGCTTCTCCACTCTCTTCCCCTGTCTCTGTCTTTTGTGTGTCCAAGGCCTCTGTTGACTCTGTGGTCTGGGGTTGCCCCCAGTACTGCTCCAGATTTCTGGCGCAGCTTTTGTCTTTCCTTTTGTCTACTTTCGCCATTTCCTTCTTCTTTTTCTCTCCTTTCTCTTTGGTTTCGCTCTTTTTACCAGCCTTGACATTTCCCCTACTCTGACTTCTCGTTTGAGCGCCCTTGGGCACGGTCCCTATGTTCCTCGGCAGGGTTGGGCAAGTAAATTACCTTAGGTAAATTACATGGTTTTTGACCGGTCATAAAGTAGGTAAATTACCCGGGCGAGGTGTCGGTTTTTTGACCTGTCAAAAACCTATGTGGCGCCATCTATTAGCACCTTGGAGAACCGGGAGATTTTTACCGAGAATACCGCCTGTCAGAGTTACAAGGGTCAAAATTCGAAAAAATCATACCCACTGAGGTTATGCCTCGCGAGGTTCAATCGTCGCAAAGGTCATACCTCGCAAGGGTCAAACGTGACAATCATAACTTGCGAGGGTCAAACGTCACAATCATAACTTGCGAGCGTCAAATGATCATAAGCTGTTGCAACAAAGACCAAACGGAATAGTTTCAGATTATTTTTTCTTAATTCATGATCATTCCACCCTTGTCATTGTTCTGCCTACAGGAGAGATAAGTTGAAAAATCGCAAGAGTTAAAATTAAGACGCAGGCAAGCAGGAAAATCACAAACGATCAAGAAACAATCACAAAGTAGGTAAATCATAAGGGTCAATCAGGATAACTAGGCCGTGACCTAGTGACCTGTTTGACCCTTGTGAACCTACTTGCTTTTTTTGTTTAAACTTTATGACCGTTGGAACCTTGTAATTGTACCGCCTGGCGTCCCCCGTTGACCCTCTTATTAGTTTCACCCTCCAGATTAAAGGATTGCTTCCGTTGTTTGACCCTAAGAAGGCATAACCCTTGCGATGTTTAACCTTCGCGAGGATAACCCTCGTGATCGTTTGATCTTGACGATTTCCGGCCGATGTCCCTCTCACTTTTGACCCTTGTGACTTTTTAGCTTAGCTTCCTTGTAAAGAGCTTTCTGACACTTTTTGACATTTTTGACGCCCCAGAGGTAAATTACCGGTATTTGACAATGTCACGTCATAAACTTCCATCTGCGAGATATGCCCAACCCTGTTCCTCGGGCGTCTGTTTCTCGCCTTCTTATCGACCGTACTTTCCTCCTCCTCCTTCTCCTCACTCCCGTTCGTGTCGCTGCTCGTGTTTTCCCGCGTTCGCTCTTCCTCATCGTTCTCTGTCCCTGCCATCTCTCTCTCTCTCTCTCTCTCTCTCTCTCTCTCTCTCTCTCTCTCTCTCATTCTAACCTCTACTCGCGACCAGATTTTCTAGCCGCTCTTTGCCCAATTATCTCCGCTTTTCCTTATAATCCTGATTTACTCCTCGCTCCAGCCTAATGCCACTTACCGCTTCACTGCTTTTTATCTCCGAATTCAACTTTAATCCGTCCAAAAACCGCTATTAAATTCGCCACTGGTCGCACCGCATGTGTCGCGTGTCGCTACCACCGCCGTTCCGATGGATGAATTCATTGATCTTCTAATGGAATGATTGATAGTATTGAAGCACCATCACTTCATCGCTAAAGAACAACTGGCTTTTGTCAAACAGCGAAAAGAGAATTTGGATAATGGAGAAGTACTAGTGCATTGTGATTTTTTGGAAAATCACGCTTTTGTGGCTCAAGATGCTGCTCAATCCTTCCACTACAATAATGATCAGTGTACAGTTCACCCCGTTGTTTACTATTATCGCGAAAAAAATGAAACTAACATCGGAGTTTAGTCGTTTTGTCGGACAGTACAATTCACGATACTGCCGCTGTTTATTTGATACAGAAGATTTTAATCCAGAAATGATTTTTTGAAAATTTCAAGTTTCGTAATGATTATCTCAGAAACAACAAGTGGCAGGGCAATGAAATTTTGCATGATCACTGGCTATATGTAGTAGTTCAAAATGCACCTACTCAATGATTTTGTCCAGACAAAAAAAAATCCGATGTGGCTGAGTTGACATGGAATGTCCCATGTATTAATTTTTTTTTCCTCAATAATATAAGGCTATGCCTTAGTTTCCTGAAATATGGCCAAAATTCAAATATATACTAATTCAATGGAGTACAATTCTTTGCAGATTTTGTGTTGATTTTTTTCTTCATGAACGATATCAACACCATGATCAATTTTCTTGTGAATATTTCAACTATGGGTAACTTAATTTTGAGCTCAATTCGTTTGAAAAGTGCGAAATTTTCCGTTTCTGTTGCTTTTGACCCATTTCGACCCTTTCCGAGCCGCAAGAAATCTCGTAATTCATTTTTCTTTCATACTTATTTTCATTTGCTACTTCTATTATAAACTTTAATAATCGTCTCTAAGCCGCGGTCTCCCCTTAAATCAGCAACCGGAAAGCATTGTCATTTTCATGTAATTAATGTGTTCTCTTTGTTCTCTGCATTTGTTTCAGGTCGAAAGAGAAATTACTGTGGATGCGTATGATTGATGCACTTCGAAATGGCATCGCGTCACTGGAATCATTCACTGAGATTCGTCTGAATTGCTTCATTTCGACATTTCTCGCAAGGAGTGCCCTGGTTGCAACTGAACCGCTGAATCCGCTCTACGCTCCTCTGCAGAATTTTTTTATGGCTAAACCGGAACTGGATTTGAGAACAATTCCAGAATTTTTAACGTTGTTCAATAGTTCTGACATTAATCATAAGGTACAGAGGCATTGGATTCTGGAGGTGATTCGAGATGGATTAAAGACAGACTTGGAGATGCAAATTTCGTCAAAATGCTTCTTGTTCAGAACACTCTTCTATGTTCATGGGAGTATTCTTGCTGATCCTTCCACAAAGATTCTCATTCTTCAAATCATCAACTCAGCTGTGAAAATTTCAAAAGCTGGAATTTTCTGTCGTAATTCTGGACTACTTGTTTGGCTCAGTGAAGTTGCTGATGGACTGAACGTTCGAGACATCGAAGGCATTGAATTAATCGTAAATATTGTTAAGAATTTGCCTGATACACTATTGAATTGTAATGATAAAGATAGTCACATGCAATTTATGTTACTGGATGTTCTAAAAACTCTAATTCCAAAATTATCAATAACAATGAAAATGAGTTCTTACTCAAAATTACTGAGGTCCCTCAGAGACATTTTACAAAATAAATTATTATGTGAAATGATCCATAAGAACCAAATTCAGCATTTGATCGAAGTTTCGAAGAATATTATCGGTGATGTCGAAGAATGTACAGAGATTTTAGGCCATGAATGTGAGTTTATAACGAAAAAGGAGGTAACAGAGTGCAACAATGAAGTTTGTTCAGCCAAAGTGAATCTGAGAAATATTGTAATTACTTGGAGAAATCAGGTCGCCAATGTTTAGTTGAAAAATCATTGTAAATAAAAGGTTAGATGTACATGAATTGATGTTTGTACGTACGTACCTAATAAAAACTTTTAATAGTTTTTTCTATTGGCCAAATTTTTCTGCAGCTTTGCAATTAATTTCATAAATATGTGGTAACTATACCTATGCTCGTTCAGATATCTCGAGCTACGATATTCTAATCATTTTAACAGTTTCAAGAATCCATTAAGAGTAAAATACGATTGGAGTTATTATTTTAGTCGATAAGGAAAGTTATCGACACCAATGAACAAGAATTTATTGAATAATAAGAGAGACAAATCTCATTCACATCAACTGATACTATGACCAGAGTGAATTCTTAAGCTGCAAGTTAAGAAACTCCCAATTTTAAAATGTTGATATCTCCGTTATAATAATAAAATGGGATTAAAAATTCCTTGACTGAGGTTTCGGATAGTTAAAAATTGAATAAAAATGCATAAATTATAGTAATATCTTAATATTTCACTGAAATACCGGCAGTTAGAAGTATAGTTACAATGGGAATGGCATGATGATATGCTCGTTTTGCAAGCAACTGTCAACTAGTAACGGACTAATCGGAAGAAAAAATGATTTGAAAGGTTGGACTTTCCCATTGAAATATAATGTGCCTCGAGATATTTTTTAATGTTGTTTCATCTTAAAATAGTATACTCACAATGTAATTAGTTCGGATAAAACGTTCCCACTCAACTCAACAACTCAAATCACGAGACGAGGATAGGGACATGTGTCAAACGTGGAGACAAGTGAGCGAGCGTAGGAACATGAGACTTTCTATATTTACGAACGATTATTTTTTAAAAAATAGTCATTATAATTATTAGTATAAGTGAATTCCATTTTTGACGTTTTTCCCCTCTAATATCTAATTTAAATCATCGCATCTTCACGCTTATTTCGATAGAAATATTGGACTAATCATCTGCTTACCTTAGCTGCACGAGTGTATGGCCATTTACCTAACGGGAGTTTGGAAAACTTTCGCAAAACCTTTTTTACTCAGTGAAAATTATTAAAGTACGTCATTTGAATCTGGTAAAATATTCCTTTATCGTAGAATGCTCAGAAGTAATGGGTAAAAGGTAGCTTTTCGACTATAGTATTTTATACGACCTCTTCCTTCCGGAGACATTCATGGAGTAATTTGCAAATATGTGTTGAACTATCCCCATTTGTCCTGATATAAAAAAAATCAAGATTGTCTTCAATGATTTTGACAGAATTAATCATTTAAAAATTTCCAATCCTTCCACTTTTTCGAAATTTTTTTTAGAATTACGTCACCACGGGGTAAAACGTATGGACGAAAACTGGATACCCAGGATCATGTGCGTGCCCCGTGTGATGCCTGAGCACCAATACTAGTTGCTTTATCGGCCGAGGACTATCCATATTCCCATCTCTGAACTCTGCCCCTCGTGGTAAAGATCCATCTAATTCAGACGGATTGAGCCTCACAGCTTGATTCTCGGATCCTCTGTTAAGAGCTTCCATTGCTCTTCGAGCAGCTGAAGTTCGAAGTGCCATATGCCCAACAGTATCCTGATCATTCCGGGATAGGAAGCCAGTCTTCCGTCCTCCTATTCTCGAATAATTCTCCGCGCTCTCCGTGGCTCCCGTGGCCTCTGGGTACGAAGCATGACCTCTCGGATGTCCATGCTGATGTCCCGGATGGCATCTTCCCCTCTGAGAATCATCAATGATTCTCTGAGCATCAGTGTTCGATGTTCCTGCGTAACTAGCTCCACCAATCAATATCACCCGACCCTCACATTCTTCCTGCCTCACCATCGCTTGAATCCTTCTGGCGAGACTCTTAATATGCTTCCGCATCTCTCTGATTGTCTTTTTGCGTAGCGTTGACGGTTTTCGGCCAGTCTGAGCGCAAACTACATTAAAGAGACAGTTGTTGAGAGTCATTTCTTCTGAAAGTCCTTCAGGATCATTATTTTCTAAAAGGGTCCAGTGACCTGTGGCCATCCCTGGTCTTGCGGAGTGAAACTGAATCATTATGGGGGGACTTTCCAAGTTTCTTCCAGCGTGATGACGTAGGGACATAGATGAAGAGAATGCTAAGATCGGACGATCAACGATTCGAGCTAGTGAACTCAGATGAGGAGTGCCGGCTGGTGCTTGAGCCTCTGTTTCTCGGATAAATTGTGCTGCAACCGCAAGATGACCCGGATTAACCTCTGGTTTATCGTTTTCAGACTTGCATGAAGGGATTGAAAAATTTGATACCGGGTTGGCAGCTGCTGACTTTTGCGGTTTGAATAACCAAGAGAAATAAAATCTCTTCGACACTGATGATGAAGGAGATGATAAATTTGAGTCTCGTTTGGCACCAAAAAGTTTGGAGAAGGAGAAATATTTTGATTGGGACGATGATAATGATTCGAGTTGGACTTCAGGAACTTGACATTGTGTGATGACACTTTCAACATTCGATGTTTCTCGGGTTTTTTCCACATTTTCAGTACAATTCACACGTTGGAATATACTTATTTTGTCCTGTTCTGTATCTTCGAATTCTCTCAGCAAATCATCATCTCCGTACATTAATATCATTTTCTGTTCTTCTGGATCACCAACGAATGACTCCACGTATCTGATCAAAGAGGATAGACCTGAGTAGAGGCCCGGATCGGGGGGTTTGACTGACTCCAAAAATGTTAGTCGGTGCCCCACGGGAAAGGCGGCGTCCCGGTCGAATTGTCGGTAAATGTGAGTCGGGTGCGTGAGTAACTCGGCAGTAGCAGTCCTGCTGTGACAGGGACAGGTTCGGAGGGGGATTTTTGTCCTCCTTGTACTCAATGTTTACTTTATGTTTTTCAATTGATTTATTCGCCGACTAATGAATATTAAGCGATGAAACCAACCCTCTTCGATGGAGAATTAAATTCCCCGTCCATCAACCCCCGTTTCATCTCTTAATCTCTGTAATAAAAAAATAAAAACTGCGACGAAACTCGCGGCGCTATGAAAAACTCAATGGTTTCTCGGCGCAGTGACTCCCGACAACTCGCCCGCTAATTAAAAAATCGTCTCTCTCCTCCTAATTAACATTAAGGAATGAAACCAATGCTGTTCGATGGAGAATTAAATTCCCCATCCTTCAACCCCCGTTTCATTCCTTAATCTCTGTAATAAAAAAATAAAAACTGCGACGAAAGTCGCGGCGCTATGAAAAACTCAATGGTTTCTCGGCGCAGAGTGCTTCCCCATTAATTCGCCCGCTAATTAAAAAATCGTCTCTTTTCTCCTAATTAATATTAAGGAATTAAACCCATGCTGTTCGATGGAGAATTGAATTCCCCATCCTCCCACCCCCGTTTCATTCCTTAATCTCTCTAATAAAAAATAAAAGCTGCGACGAAAGTCGCGGCGCTATGAAAAACTCAATGGTTTCTCG